GTTGTGTCTAGGCTTCCTGGTACTCCTTGTCATGTGATCCATTGAAACTACTGACAGCTTTGGCATCCACTACACTCTCATTTATAGTGTTCCAACCGTCTACCATTCTGTTTGCAAAATAGAACTTTCTAATGTTTATTTGGCAGCTTTGTTTCTTTAACATGAATCTGTGACCTCTTGTTCTTGGAGTTTCATGTTTCAAGAATTCTTCTTTGTCATCTTTGTTGATTCCTATTACTATCTTGTATGTACATTGATTCCTATTACTATCTTGTATATACATTGATTCCTATTACTATCTATCTTCCAGCTTTGGCGTATTTAGCACCTCTAGCCTCTCCTCATAGTTCTTGTTTTTTAGTTCCAGAAATCATTTAATTGCATGCCATTTACATCTTTTCCAGTTTATTGATGGGCTTCTCTAGATATGGACTCCAGACAACTGCTGCATATTCCAATTTGGGTATCAAAGAAGGTCGTGATCAATTTCTTTAATATTTCACTATCCATGTGTTTAAAAATTATTTTTAAGTTGTAAAGCATAGCATACACTTCTTGCATAATGTTGCAGAGCTTCATGCTCTCCTCCAGAGTTGTGGGTTCTGTTTGTTAGGCCATGATGGACAGCTTCTTTCTTGGCAGCCTTCTCCTTTTCTGGCAAAAAATTAGTCAATTGGCTTCTGGAATGGTCCTCTAGTGATTGATGCTTGGTTTGTCCGGCTAGAGGTGCATCATTTGTTATCTGGTTGCAATGGTTTGTCGCTATCTGAGTGCCAACTGCTTTTCTTTGGTGGATGCCCTGTTTGTTGATATGATTTCCTTTTCCAGGGTACATTTATCATAGGTTGTCTGCACTATCATTAAAGCTAGGCAGCCTGCTGTCTACCCTCATTCTTATGATGTTCACAGGTGTGCAGCTTTGGCTGTCGTTTTCGCTAATATGTCGTAGGCTGACACTCGAGCTTGAGGGGTTTCAAGGTTTAACTGTTTAATTGTTTCTGATAGTCTCAATGGCTCCCTGACTTCCTTCTTCCCTACCAGGTGCGTCAGCTCATGGTCTATCATTCCGGACCAAATTATAGCTAGCTGGAAGCCAGGAGCTCCTTAGACACCACCTGTCTTTGCACACTAGGGTGTTTGAGATAAATGTCAAGTGAACCAATTGGATTTGAGTGAATTATTTTAAGGAGTTTGTTGGCTGTTTCAGTGCTTTGTGTATGTGAACCTTGCAGTTGTTTTATTACTATTCTTACTTTCTGGATGCTTTCTCAGTCTGGGTAGTTTTTTTTTTTTTTTTTTTTTTTTTTTTTTTTTTTTTTTTTTTTTTTTTTTTTTTTTTTTTGAGATATATACAAGAGTTGTTACATTCTTGTACAGCCACTAGTACGCGTAGCGTTTCGGGCAAGTCCTTAATCCTATGGTCCCTGGAATACGATCCCCTGCCACGAAGAATCGTTTTTTCATCCAAGTACACATTTTACTGTTGCGTTAAACAGAGGCTACAGTTAAGGAATTGCGCCCAGTAAATCCTCCCCGGCCAGGATACGACATAGCGCTCGCGGAACGCCAGGCGAGTGTCTTACCACTACACCACGGAGACTGTATGGATGTAATAATTTGTAATAATGTAAGTTGTAATAATCCCCAGCTCTATGTACTTCTATGATTAAATCAGGCTCTGGCATTGATCTGTAGTAGACCAACAGGACCTCAATGGCTGATGTGACTCAATATGGTAAGCCATCTCAGTGAGACAGCTTCAGGGATCCACTGGAACTACCAGAGAGAGGCTTTTTATTACATTCAATGTTTTTTTTTTATGTACCCTTACCAATGGCAACCTAAATTATATAATAAACCCTCATGTGAGTAACATCTGGCATAAACCCACTATCTTATTTGTTTTATGTTTTTGTGGCAGTTCTGAAGTATATTTCAGAAGAAGAATTTGAATACTTATTGCAGAGATAAACAAAAATATTCCCTATTGACTTGATATGTTTCTTGTCATTTATTTATTTAGATGTTTTATAGGATAAAATAACCCACACCTATTTATGTATTTTATGCAAAAATTTGAACTACACTAAGTCTTTCTCACTCTCTTGAGTGCATTATCTAGGTCTGAGTACTGTATATGGTTTGGTAAGATTTATATCTCAACGATTAATATGGTTTCTTTCCTGGATCCAGTCCTCTTCTTGACCACCTGATCATGTCTCTTCCATTCTTGAATGGGATTCTGAGAAATGGAGTTGTTGCTAATTTGTATATTGATATATTATCTTATACATAATATAATATAATAACTAGTATCCATCTGGATGCTAGGTCTTACAACTCCCTCTATACCTAAAGGAGAGCAGCTATTAGGACTACTGTATGAGCTCGCTTATCTGAAGCCCAATGATCTGAATATCTGGGTTATCCTGCAAAATTTTCTGCCTGATATTTTTCTGGCAAAATCAGGAGATTTTGATGGGTACTGCAGACAGGCATGGAGTCTAAATCAAGTCTTGATAAGTTTCTGTCAACTTCACCAAATCCGGGCAAAAATCTGGAACACCAAAGATTTTGCTAGATACTGCAGACAGGCATTGGGTAATTAATTCCATACAGCAGTAGCTTGAGGCGCGGGCTATTGGAGGTGGCTGATTTTGGGGTATGGGGTGTTGGGAGAAAGGAGAGAGTCCGGAGGGACTGTCTGGGGAATGAGTGGCCTATGATCTGTAATGTATAGAATAACCAAGAATTATGTTAGAATAATTCATTACAGCAAACACTAAATAAATATTATCTAATATTATAACAAATACAAATCTCTTATAAACTATGTGTACATGCTGAAGACTGTAGTTTCCTGCTAACATTTGGGGACTGTTTCTGCCTAGTGGCCTACGTAACATGCCTGCCTGCCTCAGGTGGACCTGCCCAGGCCTGGTCAAGCTGAACAGGCCATGTACTCTCGACTCTCGCATTATTCTGCCTAAAATGCTATGCATATTAGTAGCTTTACAAGACTGTAAGAGCACCATTGTTATGTAGTCTCACAAACCTACTGTACCTTCCTGTATATAAATAAATACCACAGTACTATGCAATTAATGAAACATTTTCTTAATTAACTTTTTTGTTTTCATAGTAACTTTGATCATTTTTGTTGCCAATACTATGTTTGGTAGCAGCAGTAATCATTCTGGAGGTGTTTGGTTATGCTAACCTTTAGGAAGAAGGTTATGGTAACCTTTAAAGATATGTTACATGTTATAGAACTCTGTGAAAATGGTCAGTCAGCTATGAGTATTGCCTGGGCATTTGGTACAGGCACTAGTACTATCTGTGATATAAACAAACAAAAAGATGAATTCATGAAATACATTGCAACCAGTGAGAGTGAAGGGTGCAAGCACTAGTAGAGCTTAGACAGTACTTGGATTTCAAGATAGATCCCTCTATTCAAATCTAATTTTAATTCATTCAGAATCATTTTTCGTGTAAAACTCATCTCGGAAGTAACGTTTTTGTTTTTGTGTTCTTCAATTCTGATCTCAAGACCTCACCCTGTTACCATAGACTTCGTAGCATTCACTGCAAGGTTATATATAAACACCTCTAAGGTTTCTATCATCCTCTATTCTATTCTTGCAAACTATTTCCATAACTGTATTGGGGTAATTGAAAAAAATTGCATGCCTCATATTAATTACATTATGGGTTAATTTATTTAATAAGACGGTTGAAAGGCACTCAGTAGAGTGCATAAAACTTGGTGTAGTTTAGATTTTTACATAGAATACATAACTACATAAATGTGGGCTTTTTATCCAATGTTATTATGTCTGTGATAAGACATTACTGTTACTTAAGATGTCTTATGTTAGTAACAGTGACAGCAGCAATCCTTAAGAATTATGAAATGTTATCTTCATTGTTTTGATCCCTGACTATGCATATACAGTAGTAATAATCTTGATGCCACTACCTGATTGGACTGTTTCTCTGACCTCAATGGTATCAGGTATAAATGCCTATATTGATTTAATCAGTATATTTTAGTGAAATTTCATTCCCATTCTATGGTTAATATCAAGTATAGAAAAATATTTATTATAAAGCATATATGAGGTATTTGTTTTCATTAAGCATTTTGTGAGCATCTCCTACTATGTAATCTTGGGTATCCAGTTGCGAGCAGGAATATCCCTGAAAAAAACTATTACAGAATAATCTTTCAGTATTTTTTTGTATTACCCAAGCTTTAATTAACTATACTGTACTGGTTATATCTACCATAGCTATTTACTGGTTATATATATACCATAGCTATTTACTGGTTATATATATACCATAGCTATTTACTGGTTATATATATACCATAGCTATTTACTGGTTATATATATTATCATCTTATGATGTAGATTAAAATAATTTTAAGTGTAAATTTGGAATACTTCAGAATTGTTTTACCATTTTTTTAAGTTTAATGTCTATCTAAAGCTGAATACTCTGTTGTAATTGTGAAAATACTAAATATTCATTCCTCGTCATCCTTTCCCTCTTTTGCTGCCTATTTGCTTGTCTGCTCATTTGTGCATTTTCTGCATATTTTAATTACATCCTCTTTTGGATGTGGTGCCTTCTATAACATTGCATTCTACTTATATATCATTTTGCTTTAATTACTAAAATGACTTTACTTTTCAACTATTGCTTTTTTATTTGCTAACTTATGAACATTTACTTCTGATGCTTACTCTTTTTCTGTTATATTACGATATAATAATGCTAATAATACAAATTTTTTGAATGTTCATTTTGTTTCGTTTGCTTTTGTTGATCATATTGCATGAATTATTTTCATTGCTTTTCTTGTACTTGTTCTCTGTAATATTATAATGGTAATACATGATAAATATGCCTTAATATCTTCTATGATGCCTTGGTACACCAATGCTCTGCACTGGCTGCTCTTGCACTGCTGCTGCTTTGTTGCTGTACAGGTTAACTCCTCACAGAGTGCCAAAAAGGCAGCTTCGCTGCGTGCCAAATTCGAGAAGTGGGAGACTGAGGTTGAACGCAATAATGAATATAATCGTGGTGAGATACCTGAAGGTGAAGAGGAGTGTATGCCATCAATCGACACCGCCCGTAACCTCCGTGCCATGTTTGAGAACAAGGCCCAGGAGGCATCGCGGCCGGTTACTAATCGTCCTAAGATCAAGGTCAACAGATTTGTGGTGAGTGCTAATTTAGTATTTGTTAATTAAGATACTTAGTAATTTAATGGTTACCAGTGATATTCAAAATATGTCTTGTTTCTTAACATCTCATTTTATCTCTATTCTACAAGTCTTGTAATTTGTTATGTGGTGTTTACTGTCTATGCATTTTTACCGAATAATTGTAAGCAAAATTAGGATTACATTTTTATCTTATTGTATTACATTGAATTAAAATTCGCTTGAATATGTTTAGGTTGTTAGAGATTAACATTATGAAGTGGAACCAAAGTTTCATAAATTTGAATGATTAATATTGAATCTGATATGGTCAATTAAATATAATTATATTTAGTATAATTTTTCCTGTCATATAATACATGAAAAGTTACTCCAGTACTTTGTGGAATTAATTTGTCTTCTGTATCTGAAATGTCAGGTTGTTACTCAGGCAATTTATTCTAAATTATTAAAAAAAATTGAACCCTTTTTCCATTTCCAATAAAATAAGGTATAATAATTAAACTGAAATTGAAATACTTTATTCACAAATGTTTGTACATTTAGAGATGGGTTATTTTAGAGAAATTTACAACTTCTAGATAGATAAACTGAATGAAGCTACATTTAAGTTTGTTATATTACTAACAGTTGTGTAAAGCATTTTGGTGTAAGATTTGTAAATATAAATACTGTACATGCATTGTGTCTGTATTAAATGGCATTTTTTCTAATAACATTATTAATATGTAGCATGTATTTAACAGTGCAAGTTACTTATGCAAACTGTCAGAGACCCATATGTACTGTATGTGTGTATATCTATGTATATATGTATGCATGTAAGTATGTAGTATAATGATGCATGATTGTGTTTGCATGTTACTTTTATTGACACTTCTAACATTTTAAGTGGAGGCAGGTTGGTTATTTCTGACAATTTTAAATTCTTATCTAATTTATTTATTATAATTTTTTTGGAAAGTGAGAATTTGCAGAGAAAAATAAATATGCCTTCAAATCCTAATACTGCATATGTTATTCAGTAGCATATAGATGACAGTGAAGCAGTATTTGTTGTAAATGGCATCTTCCATGTACTGCTGGTCAGAAAGTGTGTATACAGAACCAGCTGCTTTCTCTAGGCATGTTACCACAAGAATGTTTTCTACTCATAACTGTTTTTGTCAGTTGAACTGTTTACTTATTATAATGTTTACATTATTTATTGCCAAATAACCTGTGTAAGTAGTGATTACATACAATTAACCTGTACTAAATAACATGAAGTAGCTAACATTATGGCAAGATGTGAAATGAGTTGCCCAACTCAGCGAGATGGTCATCAATGGATAAAGGGCTCATGACCCCTATTCCAGTTGACTAGACCATCAGGTGTCCATTAGCCTGGTGTAATATATCAGGGCAAAAGGCAGATTATGAGCTTAAAATTACTCCCAGCTTGTAGTAACCCAGTGTACTTGTCCTGAAACTGTAGCATTATTTTCTTCAAGACCAGCTATTTCTCATAATACTGGAACCTTAGTTCCAAGCCATCAAGAACTGGAGTATCAGCGTGCATATCTTGTGGAAGCAAATAAATAGCCGAGACTGGATTTAACCTAACGCATCCAGGCTGTTGTGGTGGTGTGTGACCCTGTTGTGTGCTTTACTATACCATCAGTTAGTGGTATCTGTGTAAACTAACTGCTCTCTGGATTTGGATTTGCCATCTGCTTTTTTAATAGAAAATGGTTTCACTCATTTCTTTTTCATAAGTACTGGTTTAATGTGATTATAGTAGCAATACAGTTTATTTCTCATGATTTCTACTTGGAAAAAACAGTTTTCTACTTGGAAGAAACAGTTTGTACTGATGCTGTAAAGTTTGACTTGGGTCATAAACAAGCCTTATACATATGCCACAGGGCTAACAACACTGCAAACCAGGCATGACAGTGTAGATTTCATTGAAACTTTTACTGAGCAATTTGGAGGATGTAGATCTAGAAAATTTCATCAAAAGGTCAGATGCAACACAAACAAGGAGCAACAGTTTCAAGCTCAACAAGCCACAATGTAGGACTGAGAACAGGCGATGCTTTTTCACCCACAGGGTTATAAACCCATGAAACTGCCTACCCACCGAAGCTATAAAGGCCAAAACTCTTAACTTTTAAAGCACAGCTGGAAAAGATCATCAAGGCAAATGGAAGGGGGGGGGGGTGGCCTTCATAAATTCAACCTGAGTAAACTCAGGTAAATTCATTTTCTGAACAAATTCAAACATTTCTCCAGTCTGATACATTGCCTCTGATTATTGCCCTCTTTTTTTTTTTAGATATATACAAGAGACTCTTGTTACATTCTTGTACAGCCACTAGTACGTGTAGCGTTTCGGGCAGGTCCCTGGAATACGATCCCCTGCCGCAAAGAATCGTTTTTTCATCCAAGTACACATTTTACTGTTGCGTTAAACAGAGGCTACATTTAAGGAATTGCGCCCAGTAAATCCTCCCCGGCCAGGATATGAACCCATGACATAGCGCTCGCGGAACGCCAGGTGAGTGTCTTGCCACTACACCATGGAGACTGTAAACTTTTCTTTTTTTCTCGGAGACTTTTCTCTCAGAAAATGTTTCATCCATGTCAGAAGTTTCTTAAATCGTACGGTATATACAAAATGAGGAACCCATGTCTTACAGACACATTTTATAAATATTTTGGTTTAGTCAATACATGGTTTGTTTCATCCCAAGGCAAATTTTGCAGCTGTTGTACGTGGTAATGTTTCACACTTATAATGAGAGAACTGAGTTTAGCAGAGGTACAGCACTAGTAGTTGATATGACTAACCTACATACAAGTTATTAGTGGCCTTCAGTTGACACTTCACCTCCCGTTCTCAGTGAAAGACTGCCACAGCTACCTTGGAGCCTATTGTCCATCACCATCTCTCGTGTCGATGGCAGTCATAGGCCAGCAGATGCTCATCTTCAATCAACATCATCACAAGTACAGCACTTGCTGCAATTGTATTACAACAATCACCTGAAAAATTCTACTATGAAAGCAACAATATATTTGATGGAAATTATGGAATAACTATATAGTATTCAGTAATGTCTTGGTTCAGGATCACTTGTCTCCAGGGCCTGCCATTGCAGAGACATTTCCAATTTAGCAACATGTTTGCCAGTGTTTTCTATATTTATGCTACATTTTATTTTATTTTATTTATTATTTTATTATTGCAAATAAGAGAAAAATAAATGTTTGTGCATATTTTGGCAATGCAAATCTCAATTATACATATTTTCCCTGTTATCCAGGCACCTAAGCTGGATAATTGAAAGTTAACCAGATCATGATCCTTTTATTTTATCCAGACTTCCACTGAGCCAAGCTGTGTCCAAGCGAGACACCACTGTATACTGAATATATAGTTAAAGCATTAATATAAATCAAACATTGGCTTTTCCAATATTATAATAAATATTGGTTTTCCTATGAAAATGTAGTGATATGTTTTTGCATGATTATATGAAGGGGAAAAATATTATAAATTTGTTATCAAAATTATATTTATACTGTACACTTAAATGAATTTTTACTTGTGCCTTATGAAACATACTTCCTGGTTAGTAATAATTATGTATTGTAGTATATGTAGAACCGGTCACTGATTCATCCATAGGCTAATTGATCAAGGTCATTACTTTTAGATCAGAATACAGCCACCTCACACTCCGTTGAAATGGCTTGAGGTTGTTATCAGAATTACTTGGGCAATGACCTTGACTATATGAATTATTCTTACTATATAATATCTTAATAATTATTAATGGGTTCTGGAACACATCTAATATGGTAATTATGCACTCAGTTTTGTGAATTTTGATTTGGAGTAAATGCTTTCCTTGTACGAGCTCTTGTGAATTGTATAGATCTGCTGTATTAAGTTTAGTCAAATCTTGTGGCAGCATAAATTGTACCGTGCATAGAATACATTTTTCTTTATACGTTTATACATGCATTGTAGTATAATATCTTGCTATAATATATAGTGTCTGTGGTATTTGTATTTTATGTAATTAATAGATCAACTAGACTGAAGAATCCCCCCATTAATGTCTTGGTCATTGCATGTTTATTATCTAAATTTCTGTAAAGGATTTCCCCTGTAGAACATTTGTATAATTGTAGGCCATATTGTAATAAATAATTTTATAATGAATTATAGTTATTTTATACAGTAATAAACTTCAATATTCTCTAGTTGTTATGCAGCTATTAAACAAATTCAGAATTTTATGAAAATGTTCCATCAGATGAACATAATTTTAAGATATTTTTATTTCAATATCATTATATAAGCCTAAATATAATTGGTGTATATAGGTAATAATAACACAGTCCTTTCATATTGTGTACCTGAAAGAGCCAATTTAACTTTAAAGATTTACAACATTTATTGCCATTAAAATATGATAGGTAGCTCCTTGCCCAAATTGATCACATTATACTGGTGTATGCAGTTACATACACATTTTCCTGATAAGTCACTAGTGTCTATTGTACATGCAAAATAACCATACGAAAGAAGAGCTTATTTTAATATTTTTGTGTACAAGTTTAATGTAAACGTTTGTCACCTTGTTACCATCTCAAGTTGCTATCATGATTTTTGCTTAAACAAGTAGTAAAATATCAGAGTTGAGACGGTACAATAATTATGTTACTTGTTTATGTATGAATGCTTTCTCAATATGATCTGAAGGGTCATTATTATGAAGTGTGCAGTTACTGACACAGCTTAAAAACAAAGGAAACTAAGTAGTTTTATAATTATAGTACTGCATATACAGTACTTAATTTGGTTAATAGATGTCATGTTAACTGAGGCAGAGAAAATATGTCCAGTACTGTACTAGTGCTCCAAATTGATAATTGATGTTGCTGTATCAATCAATTCAAATCAGATAAGTAAATGCTTAGTTATTGTGAATGTGGAACACATATAAAATTAGTATAATTTTGTTGGCCAATTAAAACAAACATACCATGACAATATTTTAGCAATCATTTGATTGGTGGTTGTTGAGTGTCAGAATCTTATAATTCATTAATATGAATAGTGACCAATGTCTTTGTGATCTTATTTGTGTTCTCTTGTATATAAATGTAGACAATTATGTTCACAAATGTGGATATTTATTTACTATAAAGAAATAATAATACACAATTATTGGAAATCATTGTACATGTTAATTTATGGAAATCTCAAAAGTGATTTGGCCTCTTACAAATAACACTGTAATCTAAACCCATTAATTTTTACAATAATAGAAAACAAAGAATATACATCCTGCAATAATTTCACATAGAAAACAACAGATTGCCTTTCAAGTTATTGCTGCATCTTGGACAAAAATATTGTTTGCCATATGACTGCTCTTATCATTACATGGTAGTTTATAGTATGTCAAAATTTGTCTTTTGTAGTTTCCAACTTTGTATTTAATTTGGTTAATAAATTATTATGTTTAGGGATTGTCTATAAACCCAACTTGTTGTAATGTGCTAGAAGACCTCACCATGATTTTAGGTAAGAGAAGAGATTCACAAAAGGGTAATGTGTAAATGTACTAATCTCTAACAAGTAGATTGCATAGTTTTGTGATAAACAGTATATTTGTTTTAATAGTGTTTATTTTCTGGGGGGGAGCCCCTTCGGTTTCCTGGAGCTAACCGGGCTGATATGAATGTATTAGATCCTGTGATCAGTCAATGTGCTTGAAGTTCTAGGCCTACCTGTGACCACGAGCCAGAACCTGGCCCCCTCAGAGAGGCATGAGGAGCAATGGCCTATAGAAACCCCTGTGTGGTTGGAAGCATTTATTACCCATATTCTGGTTAAAATATTGCTACTGAAAGCCAAACTAGTGTACAGAACTCCCTAAATGAAAACAAGTGAACAAGCATGACGTCACCACGTCACCGTGCCACTGTCTGCACAACCACCCTTCCCTGGGAGGGGAAAGGAGGAGTTCCAGACCCTTCCCCTCCCCTACTGTTCAGGCTATCCACCTAGCAGTTTTGTGTCTGATGTGAATTGGGAATGTTGTGCTACCCCGGCTCCTGATTTTCCAGTCCTGTGCCTTGTGGTGGTGGTGTGCGAGCCAGGAGTTATTTCACAAGTACTCGGGTTGCATGCGCCTAGGGTACCCTTCCCTAGGTGCCCTGTAAGTACTGCCCTTGAGGCTTGGGGCCACTTTCCACAAGTCACCTTGGAGTCTACCTCTGCAAGGCCTTCTGCTGCTCAGTGATTGATTGCCCTTGGAGTCAGCTGGGATGTTTCATGCACCTCTGTTTGCCTCTGGGTAGGGGTAGTTTTGTCACTGGTTGGGATGCAGGGTACTGTTCAGCTAGTTTTCACCCCTCATAGCAGCCAACCCTGCTCCATCTGGGCATGTTGTCCTTTTGCGGGGATTTTTCTTTTGTTTTTGTTTCCCCTGCCAGGTGGGGGGGGGTCTGCCCCCTAGGTTTTAGTCACACCCATTTATATCTTAGTGGTCCTCCACTTGGCCCCCGTGAATGTACACGTCTCAGGGGTTCCGCTTTAGTAGTTTGGTTACTTTGGGCACCGGTTAGCAGTACCCTGCCTGGGCGGCTTCTCTTAGTGAGATATGCGACTAAGGGCCCTGGAAAACCCCGCTGGGGCTCTTTGGTAAGATGGATGCGACCCCTGGTCCCCTCTCACTTCATGCGAGTTTGAAGGTTGACCTGTCCCCTTGTCTCAGGGTAACACTCACTGATTGTGCCTCCGTCATGTTGCCTGTTGGGTCGGTGACACCTTCGACCCGGAGTCCTGTGAGATTTTTTCCTTGTTGGTACTCCAATACTCTCAGTCCACTGATCATGATAATCGGGTGCAGGCAGTTTCAACATTACATGCCTGGTTTAGGTTGCTACCCTGGATGCCCCGAGACTGCCCCGTTTTGGTTATAGGGACTTGGACTTCGGGGTGTTAGTAGCTTTGACTTTGGTTCAGTCTGTGCCCCTTTGTCATTTTCCTGCTGTTGTTCGACCTGATCCTCCCCCCCTGCTGCCGGCCCTTAAGTGTTTGAGGGGTTTTGGAGTTGGGACAGGGTTTAGTTGGTGTTGAGACTTAGGCAGTTTCGGGGAATGCCCCTTCCAGTGTGGCGACAGAGGCATTTGAGCATGTTCCCCCAGCCGTAGCTTCTGGGTCTGACCAGTGGGTCCACTTCGTTCCTGTTTTTTCGACTGCTCCTGCCTTTTCTTTTGAGGCAGGGGACATGGAGGACGGCTCGGCCCTGGGTCTTCATGGGGAGGTTTACAGGGCGGGGCTTGGGCCCCATTGGACCCCGCTTGGGTTTTTGTACCCTCCGAACAGGGCTTGTTGTTACAGGGAGTGGGGTTTTCTTGTCCTCCCTCGTCGTACGGGTTGGATTTGGCTTTAATCCCTCCCCCGGGTTCGGTTCTGTGCTCCCTTGGGTTCTTTGGTCCTGTCCTTCCAGAGGTTTTCAGCCTCCTGCATTCCGCCGCATGTGGTGCAGGAGGCCATTGCGGCTTACCTCCTGCACGACCCGAATTACGCCTCCATTTTGGATCCTTCTTCTTTAGGAATTGGATCCTTCTTCTTTAGGATTTGGATCCTTCTTCTTTAGGATTTGGATCTTCTTTTCCTTACTGGGTTTGTTATGATGTTCCGGAGTCATCCTGTCTTGCAGACTGCCTTTTTCTCGTGGGAGGCATGGCATACGTTCTGTCAGTCCCCCGCGCTTGAGTAGCGCAAAGCTCATACGATAGTCCAGGTTTTCCTGGGGCGAATTTGTGTATCTCAATGCATGCTTGTTTTCCCCTATCCTTCCTCAGGATGTCGGTATTGTGCAGCTTCACATGCAGATTCCCACCTTCTTGGCTGCCCTGGTCACTGAGGACTTGCGTGCCTGCGGCTTTTTGGCGTTGGTCTTGCGGTTCTTTTCCCTTCTCAAGCTGTCCTTAGACTGCCTTAAGGAGGACGTAGAGGCTCTTGGGGCTGTTCCTGGATCTGGTGCGTTGGTCTCGGCTGTGTGTGTGCCGTCTGCTCTTTTGAAACTGTTCGCGCCAATCCTGCGGGATGCGGGGTCACTGTTTTCCTGCTTCTCATCTCGCGTGTTGGCAGGCAGTGCTTGCTACCTCCATGGAATCCGGTTGGGCCCTGGCTCTTAGGTTTTCTTTGCCGTTTTGTCCTTTGATTTTTGCTGAGTCTGCGGTGGTGCAGTATCTGCAGGCAGCTTGTTCCAGTTGTCATCCCATGTCAGACTTGTTGGTACCCTGAGGACCCCCCCATAGGGCCTTCCAGGGTCATGCCTGGGCTCAGGGTTCCTCCTGTCGTGGTAGGCCAGAGTTGCCAGTTTTGGAGCTGGCACAGCCTTTGGAACCGTCTTTGTCTGGCTGGCTCTGTGCGGACGTTGGGTTCGTGTACGGGGTGTCGGGCCTTTTGTGGATCATCTCATAGACAGGGCAATGGGGAGGGGGGGGAGGGTTGCTCTGTTTGCTCGAGCCTGGTCCCATGATTTGTGGGCCTTTCGAGTTATTTCATACGGCCTGAGGTGGCGTTGGGTGGCCCCTCCTCCTTCGGGGGGTTCAGGGTTGGCGGGCCAGGCATTTTCTTCTGTGCTCTTTCGGGTCATCTCGGAGTGGGTTCATTTGGACGTGGTTGAAATGATGGCATCCCTCCGGTTGGTTTCCTGTCTGTTTCCAGTTCCAAAACAGGACTGCACAGACCTCAGGTTCATTTTGGACTTGTCCCGTCTGAACCTGTGGGTTTATTGCCTCTACTTTTGAATGATTACTCTGTCCCAGGTTCGTCTTATCTTGAACCCAGGCTCTTGGATAGAGTCCCTGGACCTCCGAGACGTGTATTGGCACGTCCCGATTCATCCGGGGTTCAGGGACTGGCTCAGTTTTGTTGCGGGGCATCAGGGTTAGTGCTTTCGTTGTCTTCCATTCGGCTTGAATTTGGCACCTCACGTTTTCACATGCCTTACTTACAGGTGACTCGTCTGCTGAGTTCTCGGAGTTTGGCTTTCCTGGCCATTCACATTCAAGGGGTGTCCAACATTCTGGCGGATGGCCTGTCTTGGTTCCTTCCCCTGTCCACGGAATGGACGGTCGACACCGACTCGTTCAGTTGGCTCTGCTGGACGTTCGGGCCTCCAGAGGTGGACCTCTTCGCGTCAGAGTGGTCGAGGCATCTCCCATTGTATGTGGTGCCCTTCCCCAACTGTGAGGCTGTCGGGGTCAATGTCTTCAGGCAGGACTAGTCAAGGTGGGGCTACCTGTGCCTCTTCCCACTGGTTCTGCTGTTGATCAAAGTCCTAGCTCGCTTGAAGACCTACCAGGGAAGAGTAGTCCTCTTGGCTCCTTGGTGGCCAGCCCAGCCTTGGTTTCAGGCACTGCTTGCTCGGTGTCCAAACCCGAGGGTCTTCCTGTGACTCCGCCACTTTCAACAGATCGGACCGGCCCGTTACAAAGCTGGTTCAATCTTCTCGTGTCTTCGCGTCTGATCTTTTTGATGCAGGTCTATCACCACTTGCATGGTAATCAGGTGGCTTCATTGATGGTGTCCCACCTGTGTGCTTTGTCTCAGCGGCAGTATGAAGTTTCGTGGCAATCCTTCCGTTATTTCATGTCCCTTCGTAGGCTTACTTCTGTCTCGATTTGGGTTGTCCTCTCTTTCCTTTCGTGGTTGTTTCACGACCGTCATCTTATGCCGAATACTGTCACCTCATATTTTGTGGCGCTGGTGGAGCCGCTGTAGGTTGCGTTTGGGGTGGATGTTATTTCTGCTCCATTCTGCAAGTTGTCTCGTGTGTTGTTTCACCTCCGGTCTGCTCATGCACCAACTTAGCCGTCCTGGTCCTTGGACCAGGTGCTCTCCTTTCTATTTTCTCCTCGGTTTGTGGTAGTCTCTTCGGTTTAAGATTGTTTTTCCAAGGCTCTTTTTCCTGTTGGTATTGGCCTCTGGGGGTCGGGTTGGGGGAGCGTCATTCTCTCCTCCAGTGCAGGGGGTTTCTGCTCTTTTGGTCCTGGTAATAGGTTTGTTTGTTTGCAGCTGTCTCCCTCTTTTCTGGCGAAGAACAAGTCGGCTGCTTTCCAGAGGGATCCTTGGGTTGTTGATGCCTGGTTGGTAAAGCCGGGAGTGCATCATGTGTTGTGTCCAGTTGCGGCTCTCTGCCGTTACCTTTGTGGCTTGGCCTCTGGGGCCAGGGATGCGCTTTGGGTTGATCCGGTTTCCCTCCTTCCCTGTTCCAGGGATCGGTTCTCCGAGGTCATCCACAGTGTCATTTGGTCCAGCCAGCCTGCAGTCTATCCTAATGCCCATGACGTTTATAAGTTTGCTTCATTGGCTGCTGTCTTTGGTAACATGTCTTGGGCTGACATACAGGCACGGGGGTTTTGGAGGTCCAACAGGATCCTGGTCACTTACTACCTTGTTAATGTTCCTGGGCCTAGTTGGGCCTGTGTCGCATTGGGTTAG